CGGGGGGCTAATAATACAAGCAAACACTCAAATGCAATATCGAGTTGTGTCATTATAATATGAAAAGTCGACAAGACTAGGTTATTTTACAATTAAACAGATAAAACACATTCATGTCAAATCTGTACACAGAATAGGCGTATAAAAAAATTTTACTCATGAAAATAGAGCTAGAGACGGAAAGTTATCGACGTGACGGTGTCGTTTGACTACCGTCAAGTTATAAAACTTACAATCATCGAGTATATAACCGAAATAGAGATAACAAATTAGAAAGCTGAAATAGGATAGCGCCAACAACTGACCTGTGTGTACGTCTACGTATATTCCAAACATATTGTGTATTTATTGTATTAAAGGTAATAATATCTCTTACTTTGAGGGGCTGTTCTATTTGGTGGTGTGGGAAAAACAGCAAAACATCTAAGGTATTTATATAAGGTAAAAATAAGGTATTTAATTAATAACTATTGTAACTATTATAGTGAAAAACTTGAAGACTGTACCACCTCAGTCAACCGTGACCATGGGACCTGTAAAGGGCCCGAAACGTCGGTTTGTTTGAAACAACAAATATACGCGATTTAAATCCGGAAAAATAGTTTCATTTCCTATGTGTAACAATCGCGAAAACCTAAGAACTCGATATTCCTTTTATAATTTATTTTATTGTCATACAAAAGTACATAAGTAACCTAATTATTATATATGTTTTGTTTCTTAATACAGTGAATATACAACGTGGTTAGAAGTTAAAGCGTAAAATACTATGAAAATTTCGCGGAAGTGTTAAAAGTACTCGGAAGTTCGACAATAAAGTCGTCTAATTACTATCATAATTGTAGTCTAAACAAAAGCTACTTAGGTGCTCTTGTCTCCCATGTCATCCCTTTTACGTTAGCTTATAGGTTCTCGAGTTTCAAGTGTTTATATTATAAGTTAATATAAAACAAAAACTTAAAGATTACTTTGTACAAAACTTAAAAAAATGTGATGAACATTTAATATAATAAGATGAATGTATTTACCCAATCCTATTAATTTTAGTAACATATATATTATAGATTATTTATACAAATTACTTAAAGATTTACACTTAAATATAAGCTTCTGCTAGCATGTTCAAATTTGTATTGTGTAGATACAGGTCACATTATGACAAACCTTAGTGGTTTAAAATGCGATTAGAAATATATTTGTGTATTTTGTCCTTTATACGATAAATAAATAAAAAAAAAAAATTAAAAAAAAGTGTCTTATCGCCGCCCCTATTGTAAACAATAAAAAAAGGTACCTGCTGTGTTCAATACTGATTATATTTACTTTATTGACGAGAAGTGCATTTATTTAAAACGATTTCATTACAAGATATTCTTTAATTGCACTCCCCTTTCCAGCTCTTAAATTTCTGTCCTGAGGTTGCCTGGAAGAAATTGCTACTTGGTAATAAAGCCGCCTGTTGTATATTACTCTGTGATACTTACATTACTGTTCTGTGTTGCCGTTGTAATTTTAATGTGCAATAAAGAATATTTCATTCATTCATTCATTATCTTATAGGTTATTTTAGATGCACTATTTATACACTATTATGTATATTATTTCAATATATAACTTTAGGCATAGTCGTCATATTTTTGCTCCTTGCTCTTTGATATCGCACCTAGCCAGAGCAAATCTCACCCAGATAAGCCGGATATACCAGAGGGCACATTTTAAGGGAATTGCTGAGGGGAAGACCAACCAGCCGCAGCCGGTAAGTAAAAAAAAAACCAATTCTTTATATCACAATTAAACTTTATTACAACGTAAACTTTATTAGCTGCCATTAACGAAGTGCAGCAAGCGAAGCTTTCTTGACATTTGCTCAAATTGCGCAATCTACAAACGTAATTGTCCTTGTACAACCCTAGCGCTATTGAAAATTATGTATGTATGTATGTAAACGCTTTATTGTATAACACAAACAAATTACAAATTAACAAAGAAATAGAACGTTATTGTACAAAGGCGAGCTTACCCCATAAAGTGATTTCCAACAGCTAACCTTAGAATAATTGAAAGAAAAGTTGGTTCCTGAGTCGGCAATAAAATGTAATAAATCATTAAATTGAATGCTACTCAATAATTAAAGAATAAATTTATTATACCAAATGTACACACGAATACGAAAAAAACAAGTTTAAAATACTCGTACGTTGAAACTTAACATAAAGGTTGATTTAAACAAAGTTCTAGTGTGTCTTTTAAACAGCTGAAAAATATATGCCACTGCGATTACAGCCGGTTGAAAAACAAACAACGCGGCTGAGAAGTATAGTATGTATTATCAACATAAGCTACGCTAAGGGCGCGTTCAAATCTGACGCTTGCTTGCGTGACATTTCATCTTTGTAGTACTAAAAATGCGTCTACATACGTCTTATTTGACCGCGCCCTAAAAGTATCCTATCTAGATAAATAATCCGAAACCCAAGGCGACATGCTGTCCGTGTATTTTACAGGAGGCAAGTCGTAAGGTATTATGAGACGATTGGCTCCTTGCAAAGGGAAAAAGTCGGAATTTATCTGAAAGAAAAAAACAGATTTATTATCTATTAAACAATTATTACTCTAGCCAAATTCAATGTACAGTAAGGGCGCGTTTCCGTTATGTCGTGACGACAGACAAAGTGTCGTAGCTTGTATATGTAAATGAAGTTATGCACATTTGACGTTACGACAACAGAATGTCGTGGCAATGGCAAGAGCTAGAACGACTGTCGTCTGATGATAAATAAAACGACACGATAAAAATGTGACGACAGATAATCGCAGCTTGAAACGATTTTGATAAATTGCCATCACGATTGGGAATGACTAGACACGACAGTCGTTCAACGATAACAAAATGTCCACGACACAGTCATGACAGACGGCCGTGATATGGGTACAGGTCAAAAACGACAGTTGTCGAACGATAAATAAAACGTTACGACATAAAGGGAACGCGCCCTAAAAAACGAAATTTTATGAAATGGGGATGTCCATACTAAGAAAACGGTCATACTTTAGGTCTTAATCTGCTGGCCAAGGAAGATATATGTCACTCCCAAAAACACAGCTTTATTAACAAGGTCTAACTTTTCTCCATTTATTTTGATTGGGCTAGTAGATTTTACATTAGGTAATTCAAATTGAACACACTTTGTCTTGTTAGCATAGAGCTATAAATTGTTAACATTAAACCAATAAACCTTTGAGTGGGTATCTTTAAAATTGTCATAGTTAACGTCATGTGTGTCTATTTTAAAAATCAAGGATGTCAGCAAACAATACTATTTCGCAAAGGTCCTTAACAAGGTATAGTAGATCATTAATATAAATGAGAAATAAGAAAGGTCCAAGTATTGAGCCCTGTGGAACACCCATTTTTACCGGAGAACCCAAAGAAGTCACTCCATTAATGTCTACTTTCTGAATTATACCGTCAAGATATGACGAGACAAGTTTCAACGCCTTGCCACTTAGTCCGTAATATTACAGCTTCCTAATAAGACTAATATGATCCACGCAATCAAATGCCTTCGAGAGGTCACAGAAAACCCTAATAGCATTCTGGGACCTTTCCCAAGCACCAAATATATGTTTTAGTAGTGCTACACCCGTATCGCTAGTCGATCTACTACTAGTAAACCCATATTGTTCACTATGAAAGTAAATAAACGCTCTCAATTCCGGTCACTCGTTATACTTACAACAAATTTAGGCAAAAACAGCACCCCGGCCTCATAGCTCAAAATCCTCAGTGCGCCGTTGCCTCTGTTAAGCTGACCCCACGCCGCCTTGCTGACGTTCGCCGACGTCAGCAGGTAGAATGCCGCTGACGTTGCTGACGCTGACGCATCTGACGCTGACGTGTTTATCCTTGTGTAGGATTTTATATGCGGCATAGCGCGATTGCGGTGTGTATGTGTTGCGCGCCATTGGCTGTGTAAAAAAAAATGTGTTATAATACTTTTGCCTATATTTAAAATATCATATCTTACTGCTTAAGTTTTGTTTTGTTGTACGTGCCCCTCCCTATCAAACTTTGGTTATACGCATCGAGTATATAACCAAAAATAGAGACGAAATGTCATTTAGTTTGTTTAAAGACTATTCTGCCAAATCATTACGGTGACAACTGCGATTGGCCAGCCCGAACTCAAAACAATTGACGGATGTCAATTGTGTCACTTCAAATCGACCAGTTTAACTTGAGCTTTGCTATAATGGATTTTATTACAATTTAATTACCAATGAAATGTGATTCCGTTTGTTTTGTAATTAGATGTTTTGCTGTTTTTCCCACACCACCGAATGGAACAGCCCCCCATTGATACAATAAATACAGAATATTTTTTAATATACGGGACGTCAATACAGGTCATTTGTTGGCGCTGTACTATTTCAGTTTTCTAATTTGTAATTTCAGCGCAAACGAGAGTTGATGGTTAAAAGTGATATAATTTGCCTGGTTGTTCGCCAGAGATAGATGGCCCCTATTTCGTCTCTATATCCGGTTATATACTCGATGGTTATACGGGACGGACACTATTACCTGTACAAGCAAGCCTACACAGGGATACAGACACCTTATCACTCAGGTTTTTTTTACAATACCAAATGACTGGAAGAACAAGTCGTGCGCCGGATAGGCGTGTCGCTAACAGTTACAGTGCCACTCAAAGCTCTATATAGCAAAGATCTGAGGGTCAATGCCACTGCGCCCGTCACCCTGAGATCTAAGTGGACAAGTCCTATGTGAAATTACACTCCACCAAAAGGTGCGTTGACACAGACTTTATCCGGTTCTCAAAGGGCTAGTAGTGAGTTGCGTGAGCTACCCCGGGTACCAGAGCTTTTGGCACGGTCTAAACCGTTAACTCTAAAGTCGAAGTAAAGCTTACGTCGAACAGTGGAAGCGTGTAAGCTGCGGATGATGTCATGATGATATTTCTGCCGCCAAGCAATCATGTGAGCATTGTAATGCGTTCCGGTTTTGAAGGGCAATGGTGCTGGTGATATTAGGGCACATGGGACTTGTCAACTTATGTCTCAGGGTGACGGGCGCAGTGGCCCTAAGATCTTGGCCATTTAAAGCACTGCAACGATTATGGTCAGACGTGTCGCTTACCACCAGACGCATGACTTGTTCGTCCTGTCACTTGATATTATAATAATCTCAGTACAGAGTACTAAAAAAACCGACCTCAAAAGTACGTGGAATTACGTCTGTTTGCCAAGTTTTATTGAAATATCCCCTAGTTCGCCACTATACTGGACTTGACATTGGAGATAATAAAAATAGGTTCTCACTACGACACTACTCAAAGTATATTGAGAGAAAAACGCCTTGAATTAGAGAAATAGCAAAATCAACCATTAAAGCAATTGCTCCTAAATTAAAGTTAGGCGCTATTTATAAAAATGAATCTTCATGCGTGAACAGCCACCCTTCGAGGTGGATGATTTTCTTTAAAATGAAATGGGACCACTATGGAAGTACCCCCTTTCCAACAAAAAAAGAATCATGAAAATCGGTTCACAAACACCGGAGTTATCGCGTAACATACATACAAAAAAAAAGAACATAGTCGAATTGAGAACCTCCTCCTTTTTGGAAGTCGGTTAAAAAACAACCTCACTGACTCATTGTCACTTGTTGAAGCTGACATTGACGTTGCTAAAGACGCAACTCCATTTATTGAAAATAACTATTCTATTGGTTATTTAAATGCATCTTCTACCCTCTCCGCTTTAGTAAATAACCTGTTAGTCGGTACAAATTAACTTACTATAAGAAATTGTTTAACCAAAGTTGTTTAGTATGTATTTCTGCGGCGTAAGGTAGGCAGCCTCCGCCAAGTAAACCATCATGTGATTGTTGAACGTTCTCTAAAACAATAAAAATAATTTAAACACGGATATTATTACATGCATTTTGCGTAAATTATTTTCATTAATTACACCGTCGTAATGACTTACTCATATCATAACACACGTTCATAATGACACAAACTCGTAATGATGCATACGTATAATGACAGACATTCAAAATTTGCATTCATTTGCATAAATTAATAAATACATAATAATTTCATTTCTCCTAATCTTTTAACCCACATTAACTTTAAAATTAGGCCAAATCCCCGTTGCCTTAAAATAATTGTACTGCATATATACAAAAGTGATACTTCATTTTATAATCCCTTAACGAAAATATGCCAAACCTATAATGAATTAATAACATCAATATCAGAATGTCTCATTGATGTTTTTGACAACAACATCTTTAGATTTCGTAACAATATTCAGAAACACTTCGCCCCGTCTTCTCATTCGTCCTCATTTGTACTTTTATTTCCACTAGTTGTTAATCTTTTGTATATTATTTAACTTTTATCTACATATTGATGAAACTGTAGAGTACCATTGAATGTAAACTGTTTTGCGTATCAAATAAATTAATAATTACCATACTCATAATTACAAATACTCATGCTGATAATGACGGATATTCATAATGACATATAGTCATAATGACAGTCATTGAACGCCACTCCATGGGGGCGCGAAATGAGATCTTACAGTAATCAGCGTTGGCACCACAAGATGATTTTATTACGATCCGCGAGGGGGCGCAGCGAGCGACTGCTGTGACGTGACTTGAAGGGTGACATGGTCGTGGCTTCAACAACTCTCATCTACGACATCAATCACGTCGATCGTTCATTCAACATCGATTGTCTTCCAAACAATTGGCTTTCGGTCATATTGTATTTAAAATTATAATATGAGAAGAATCGCTTTCAAATATCCTTGAAGTCAAATAAATCTCTTCATTGTACAGTCTCAACTGTCCTGAAGCTAGATACACAGCCCAAAAACACATAATGACACTCACTCGAAGACACACTCATAATGACTCGCATTCATAATGACACACATTCGAAATTACACATAAGATAATTCCGAAAAACACTACAAAAATCTTCTTCTATAGTCGGGTATGAAAAAAGTAACTTAACACCATTGACTTACAATTGTATGGACGTCGGGTCCGCGCTAAAAAGTGTCCGAACTTATAGGGCGTTAAAATCGTATACAGAGCGTCATTCACGCTATAGTCTTCGTTTGTTCGACTGACAGCGAAGCAAGCAAAATTAGACAGTACTGCGATGACATTACAATTTAAATTCAACGTTTTAGCTTTCTCATATTCCTTTACATGTCACTACGTCTAAATAGGTTGACTTGGGACATTTTTTCGTGGTTTTTGTATTAGACCCGTCGTCCATTTATTTGTAAGTCAATGCTTAACACACTTAAAGAGTTAAAAATCGGATTCGTAATAATTCACTATCGCCATAACCGAGTATAACTCACCAAAAGACGGATATATAAACTTCAACTCCGGTGGCAGCGCTAGCAACCGCGGTTGGTCTTTCATTTTCGTGAAATTGTACAGAAAATCACCGGTTAGCCACAACTGTAGAAAAAAAAACGCTTTTCACTTCTCATGCTCTTAAAGTTCGTATTTATTCTGGGTCAGAGAAGAAAAAACTAATGAGAACGGATACTCTCCGCCCCTCCCTAGCTTTAGATACCGCGCCACGCCCTGCGCATTGACGGTCACATTGACTGAACGACGACAAGGCTGTCGGCGAGCCGTTTTCGCGCTAAGACGGCTTTCATATTTGAATAGTTTTCATTTATTCATTACGAAACTTGTACGTTAATAATAACATCATAGTACGTTACTATTTATAATGGTCGTGAGTTGTGCTATAAGGCTGTTTATCATCATCTAAACGGGATAAAGAGAGGAGTTTTTTCGTTTTCCGAAAGGTAAACCAAGTAGGAAAGTAAAAAAAAACTTATGTCCAAGACTCATTCAGTTATTGCTTTCTTCGTTTATTTAGTGCAGATATATTATATCAATATAATGAAACGCCATGACTTCGTGAACTAGTAGACAAGGGTTCCCGAATTTTCAATATGTATTGCCGATATATATTACGTGGTGAATATATCTAATTATTAAATAGGTAATGATAAACTTGGAGACGCAATTTCTAATACCTTGATTACCTTTTTGCCTGTCCAAAATATACATTTTCAAATCTTCAATATTATACTAGTTAGTAAATTAATTAAAAATATAATATCAATATAAATACCTAATGAACATTAATAGAATTATGGATAAAAGATTCGCGTTAGAATTTTCGCTATGTTGCCGCTCTGACCATGTGACGTAACAGTACGAGAAAGTGATGATGAGTAACGCTGCCACTTCACGCACACATTTGCGCGTGCGCAGATAGCGTCTTACTGTATGTAGTAGTAGTAGTAGTAGTAGGTAAATAACTTTCGATCGTAGTATGGAGTGTCCGGGATGTGGCTGGGTGTAGGCTGCATAAAATAGGAGGATTTTATGCTCTAGTGCATAAAATAGGATTGTATGCTCTAATGCATAAAATACAAAAACCATCACATTGAATATGTCTAATCGTTGAAATTTTACATTCAATTTTAATTAAATAATCGTTTATTTGTAATATTGCTGATTAATTCCCTCGCAATCGACGTGAAAATCAGAGTGTATAACTCATTCATAAAACCCATTTTACCCTCGACTTAATTGGATATACTCGTCTCGGGAAAAATGACGCGTTTTCAAACCCTTGTTGTACAATCTACTGTTTTTAATTCAAATGTCACAAATGGAAAGTTTGTTACTTAAATGTATCGTATATTAGGAGTTATATTATTTGATCTTCAAAGATATAATAGATTTATTGGAAATGTGCAAGTTTCTAAATAAACGATTTTTTTTTTATGTTTGATATATATATACAGGGTGACAAAAAAATCACTGGCGATTTTATTTCGAGTGCATAAAATTCAGTAATAGAACACATTAGCGAAATGAAACAAGAAAAATCCCCATTTTTTTATCTTAATGTTTCTTAATAATTTCTGACGCGTGGTAACCTCAAAATAGTAAATAAAATTGAGCGATCGGCGGAGTTGTCTAGACGCCAGAATACGACAAACCTGCCCTAACGCATCGCGTGTTAGTTTAATACTTTGTTATTTAACATATATTACACATGAACTCGCGCGCTGACTCTGCCCACTGCACCACACCGTTCTTGTTGCTATAGCAACGGCGTCTGCGAATCATAGGGTATCAATACCGTTCACAATATTCCGCAAAACTTTGAGACGTCATAACTTATTTATTAAGTATTTGACAAAAAAAAACCGAATATGTATTTTCTTTTTCCCTTATACAGTATGCTCCTTTAAAATGGTCAGTGGTTTTTTTATCGCCCGTATATTACTTGTTCTATATTATTTGATCTACGGATGAATTATAAATGAACTGCATTCAAGGTAACACTATCATTATGTTTACGCATGGAGTATATAAGCAGAAATAGTGACGAAAGGGCCATCCATCCCTGGCAACACAAAAGCAAATGGGCCTTATTAAGGGCCACTTTAAATATCAACTCTTGTTTGCGCTTAAATCACAAACTAGAAAGCTGAAATAGCGCAGCGCCAACAACTGACCTGTGTGTACGTCTCCGTATATTCCCAAAATATTCTGTATTTATTGTAATAAAGATAATATCTCTAACGTAGTCTGACTAGAATCGAATTTTGTTGTGGCTTTGATCTATTCTTATTATGTGTATAATTATATTATAATACTAATTACATTACACAACATTAAATCCTCTTTACAGTCATAACTTACACCTACAGCTGTAATTATATTCACATTTGCTCATGCACTTACATGTCAAACAGGTTATTTTAGATGCACTATGTAAATAGTGTAAACTTTACTATGTATATTATTATTGTCAATGTATAACTTTACTCATAGTCGTTATATTTTTGCTTTCAAATAACTTAATCCCTCTCGTTGGTTCTGACTGAAAACCAGCGCCTTAGGAAACTTTGGCATATGCTGAGTCAGCGCCGTTTCACTGCTATGACAATCATGTTTTGTTTTTTCTTTTATGGTTAATCTGTTGTGTTATATCAGTGAATAAAGTGTTTATCTATCTATCAAACAATGTTCGATTCGGTGGTGTGGGAAAAACAGCGAAACATCTAATTACAAAATAAACGGAATCACATTCCATCGGTAATTAGATATTAAATATGTCTTTTTAAATTTTGAAACAAAAAATAGTTTTCAAACAAATTAATTGACATTCGTCTCTATTTCTGGTTGCATACTCGATGCCTACACAGTCCAGTAGGCGGTCCATAACAACGTCAATAATGTATACTACTTTTAGAGATCTATGTAACAGTGGACCATACCTTAGGATCCTTTCCGTAACTGCCGATACTGCTAGCTTGCACCACCAGCGGCCATTGCCGAGATTCTGTGTGCGGTATACAACAATGCTGACGTAGTAGCGATCCGACGCGGGTCATTCCCCACTCTTGATCAAAATGAGAACCAGGTACGGATGCCACCAGGAACACACTATATAAAATACACCGTTTACTTAGTTATTAACTACAAACTAACCCAGTAACTAAGCTTATTAATTTAAGTAAAAAATTTAATTAACTAAGCAACATAATGAAGCAACGTAGCAAAGAGAACAAACAAACGTAACAAATTATTGGAAATGAAACTATTTATAGGAATCTAAAATCACGAACAGTGCTTCTATTTTGTCATTGTCCCTCGGCAATCGTCGGCTTACCTACGACACACTAATATTAATATATATGCCCACTAATTATTAGACTTAAAATCTATAACAATTAGAATTTAGAACAACGTACTTTATTGTCGTTTTGTTTTGATTTCCGATATAGAGCTGTAAATCTTCCTTATTTTCAATAAACTTGACTCCATGTCAATGAGCAAGTTAACAAAAAGATAAAGTAAATAAACTGTGTTTCTTTTACATAATTAAAAATTAATATTATTCCGGTTATTAATCATTTTAAATCAGTCCGTATCTGAACGCATTTCCTCATCTGACATAGCTATGTTAGTACGTTCGCCATCGATGGAATAATCAGTTTTCCGCGCTACTCGAACGGGTATTTATTATAATAATGTTCATTAGCGGTTTTCCTCCCATTGTATAATAAATAAAAATGTAATAGCAACTACCAAAGGCAAAGGGCAACTGAATAAAACCCGACGACAGCCGAA